GGGAACAGATCCTGCTAGGTACCTCCAAGCAGTAACTAAACTCTCAACCTATGTAACCCCCTTTGAAATACTCGTTTCTCCTTACATAGAGAAATGGTGTTCTGTGCCGTTGTTTGAGTTACTGTGCTTCCTGTGTACTGGTGTGCGTTGAATTTATCACGGTAGTTAGAAAAGCCTTACTCCAAAAACCTTGTCCTTTTCCCTTAAAAAAACCCCAACCCTTTATTCACAGTCTTCATGGCTGCAGTAACAACTTTGAAAATCTGAACCGGAAAGTGCAAAAAACTTCTGGTGAGTTTAAAGACCTCTTGAAACAATAGCACTAAGAGGTATTAAATACTGCATGCTTCTTAAGGGACTGTTAATTCTTGCCTCCTAAAAACAAGTTTGAGGGACATAAAGTAGGGGGGGTGGGGAAATTAAATGTACCACCTAAATAAAAACATACAAGAGAGTGTTTTATGAGCCATACTAGTCATGGTTGCTATTCAAAGCAAGTGGTAACCATAAGCTCATTTTCTACTGACAGCTACTATTCGAAATTTCCAAGCTGACAGTGGCCACGCAGGTACCTCTCTTCTAATGGATAAATCACATAACGTAGCAAAGGGATTTTCAGATAATCTTCTTCTGGTTTTTGAAAGTTCACCTGCACTGCAGGATCCCCCAGGAATGCACTCAGTTTCTGCTAAAAGGCCAGCCACACACATTTCAGGCAGCATTTAAATCCCAGGTAAGTAATCCACAGACTGCAGACAGCCCTTTTTCAAGAGCAAATTATGTGAAAAACGGGACCTGTTTTGTTCTACTTTACTGAAACCAGAGACATCCCCAAATCAGAGGTGTTTAAAACATTTATTAGCGTTAATCATTGTAGGTTAAATAAAACACAAAACCTACATTTTAGGGCAAAAAATATTGTTAGGTATGATACAATTAATATGTAAAACAGAAGGTGAAGTATTAAGAGATTGCAGCATCCCATACATGAAGCGAGTGGGTCCAGCCCAGTCAAAGCCCTTATATAAACAAAACAGAGGAAGAGTACTTAGCAGGTGATTTTAAACTGACAATTTATCACTGACTCTGGTTTAAATAATTAAGGGTAGGATAGTAAATACATCATCATTGTACTGAAAAGGTCTGATTATAGTCAGAGTGCTTGCACGTATAATCTATCTAGTCGCACTTATTACCTCGTGTCATGAAGGATTAGTGAAGACAAGGGATGACAGGTAACTTTTCTAGGCATTGATACAGACTCATGTTGTAGGGTAGCACTTCAGATAGACCTGCTGTACCATGAACAAAAATAGTCAATTTTTTTTCTTTTTTTTTTTTTTTTTTGAGTGTAACTTTATTACTTCTGTGTCCCAATCCTTGGCTAATAATGGCCTTTTTTAGATTTCTCAGTCTGCAAGACAAACTTTTTCTGCAATAAGCCATTCTCATGCATAAGAATGGCGAGTCAACAATTGTACCTATGTGTATCTCCATCTTCTTGCTACCTTCAGTCTGTAGCTTTAAGTTCATAAAGGTGAAATTATCATTAACAAAAAAAAGTACCTACAGAATACAATGTGCAGTATATGAGAACCAGACATAGTGAAAAAAACACTACATGTCAGCGTTAACAACATAAAACTGTACTTATATACACACATATGCAGAGCATATATGAAGACTAGTTCCTTCATAACCTTGTTTTTAAACTAGTCCATGACGAGCCAGAAAAACAAGTCGCCCACAACTGGACAGTCACAGTCTTGAGTCACTGTGCAAACAAAGCTCCACCAAACATCCTCGGCATCGCAGCCGGTGCTTCAGCCCCGCTGCCAGCCCTCTTGAGAAAACCAGCCTTGGACAAACCCAGCACCGGCTGGCCAACACAGAGCTGCAGCGTTGTTGTTGTTATTATGGCAGATCAGCTACAGAGAGTGCTCCTGTACAGTAATTTAGCTTTTCACCAGCCATTCACTGCTAAAGAGAAATTCCGGTTGCTGCTGAAACTTTTGACTCCAAGTTTGGGTTTTTTTTGTATGTCATCTTCCTGGCTGTTTACGGTGGTGACATTTTCCAAGCAACACAAGCAACAAAAGGAAGCAGAAATAATGAATTTTACATTTGAAAATCACAATTTTTAAACCAAACCGTTCCCCCATTTGAAGAGGCATGTTAAAGCTGCACTTTAGCGTTGATGAGCTGCAGACAGGCAACATTACCGTCGAAGGCAAGCCCTGTCTTCAAAGGAAACGCAAGTTGCTCTGCGCAGCACAGTGGCCTGTTGTTTTTTCACCTGTGACTTCAGAGTTCCCTATCGAAGCTCACCATAACCCAAATCTCAAGAACTTATACAATCAGAATCTTACTTCATTTAAATCTTTTTCTTGACTAACAGCAGAATAAGGTGATTTAGATTTGGCTCACCAAATGCAAATATATCTTTCAGCCCACTTAGCCAGCATTTGAATTTCAAAATCTGCCAGAGATCCATTGTAACAACTTCCAATTTTAAACTACTTTAACATGTAACTTACACACTTGTTTCGATTACATACAGCCCAAAGGCAGCTGGAAGAGCTGCTTGTTCAAGGCAGTATCTATACCACACAGATCAGCATCAATTGCCAGCTACAGCGTAGAGTATACAAGGCACTCACAGAAATGTCTACAGAGCTTTCAGACTTCTCAAGTAGGGTTTGATGAGTTTTGAGATGTCACATTAAAAAAAAAAAGAAATACGCCACAAAGACTCATGAAAGCTTAAAAATCAGTTATGCATGACTACTGTATGTTGAACTAAAATTTCAGACACCTTTGAAAATGTGGGTTTGATCTCACCTTGTTTTCTTGGCAACAGGTCTAGCCTTTTCCTGGGTTTTATTTAGGAAGAACTAGGTCTCTTGCAGCATTGGGTCATAGATCCCGTAAATTATATGAATCTGTGATGTTGGTAAGCTTGATATTTCTTTAGTGCTGAAGGCCAGGTTAACCTCTCCCTCCACAGCCAGGTGCCAGGCAGCCCTGGCAAACTTGCTTGTACTAGGATGGGATGAAATATTCCCTAAAGGAGCCTGTCTCCCTCCCCGGCTATCAACAATGACGATTGCTGAATTTTCACTTCAATAACCCTGGGTTATCTGTAAAACAGTTGCTGCAATGAAGCAGTGACGCGGTTTATGTATCAGCACAGGTGGCAACTGAAAGTTTACCCAAAATACCCTTTTTCATGGTAGCTGTCTGAATCTGTGTATTATCCAAGGGCATATTTTCAAGTATGAGCGCTTTCAAAGGAGTCCAAAATATCTGAGAAATGGATTATATATTAAAAAACAATGCAGTTTAGATTGTTAGGATAAAATCCAGTGGGATGTTTCCCACCTATAACTAGTTCAAGCCCCCTGAAGACAAAGAAACGTTCCTGTTGATTTCATCTGGCTCTGTTTCAAGCCCTAATAATTAGCGTCATTTTATCACAGCAATCTCACAACCAAGCAATAATATCTGGTTTTTTATGTATAAACACGGAAGCCCAGCTCTACCCTGCTTCTTCATGATTTAGTGTGGAAAGCTGTTTTTCCCTTTTGTTTGCTTTTTGTAAGTCCCTCAACAAATGTGCAGCGAGGTTAATTTTCCTCGTAAGTGAGCAAATTAATGCTGTGGAATGCAGGCTGGGCTTTGGTTTTGAAGCCTGCATTTCTTACCCTAGTTCCGATTTCCAATGAAATGGATGAAGAAGATAAATTTATATTTTACCACCTCAGTCACACGCATTCAGGAAAGATGAAAGTGGAGAATACATAGAGCTTTACATTATTTCTAGTTCATAACCACCTTGAATGTTTTTTTTCTACACTATATTTTCAAGTGCATCAAGCTTCAAAGGTATCATGCAGTGGGTCTTCCGTACCGCATCCTCACGTGGGTGAGGGGACTACTCCACAAATTCACAGAATTGCATTTGTAAGGAAATGCTCTGGTTTGTTTTATTAGATTCCAGCCTTTAACCCCAAATTATATTGTGCTCTCTGAAGCTGTTTTGGTACAGAAATATTGTTCTTCCAACTTGAAGACTTCTTGGAGTGCTGCAGTGAGACCACGAAGGATCGGGGCAGCGTGGCACTCTCTTTTAGAAACCAGGGAAGTGGCATCTTTGAGCAGAGGCAACTATGGTCTGGGGCACAGATTTGGAGGAAACCTGGTAAGTCATGGAGATTAAGCTGGCATTTATGTTCTTTTTACAATTTCAGTAATTAATGAAGCCTACACCCTGGAAAGGGAATCAATCCAGGCAAAGCACAGCGGCTGCATCTTCACTTCTTTCTGCAGCAGACTGGGCACTGCATGGGGTCCAGCAGTCTCCTTCATGGTAACTCCTCCTTCCACAAACACAGCACCTCCTGACACAGATTTTGACTTCTAGCCTGTAAAAATTGCACTCGCTCATCCTTTGGATCCATTTTTTTTCTAGTTAGCAAATCAGTCCACTTCTTGCTGATGTTTACTGAAAGTATGAGATGAAGCTACAGATTTAGAAAAATACAGAAGCAGAGTCCAGATAGAAAGATGGCGGAGAAATCGTAAGTCAAAATTCAGGTTTTATGGGTTTTTTCCACCCTATTATTACAGAGAAAACTCTAAAAACATGCCAAGTCCATTTTGCAATGTAAGAAGAGAAGTTTTTGCAGCAAATCTAAAATTTATATATAAAAGGATCTTTTTATTAAAAAAAACCAAAACCAGTCATTGGCTTAAACAAAGAATCAGAGTATTTTGACACTAATTTTGACAGGATATTAGAAAGGATTTTCCAACTCAGTTTTGCAAAATCCCTTTGAAGTAAAGCTTTCTGCTTCTGGTCCTTGCATTATTGCTCATGGGAAGTACTGAAGTTACTGCTTTCAAGATAAGGAGCCACATCACTGAGATCACAAAGTCCTTTCTCAGTTAAAAAGCAAATGGTACTGTTTTTCAAGTAAATCTAAAAAGATCAAGTTGGGTCAGCAGCACCGCCTACCCATCTGTGAAGTCTGCTTTCCAAGTTTGATTGCTCCATTGTTACCGTTTTCATGAGGATCTAAGGGTGGAATTTGCCGACCTGAAACACACGAGGAGACAGTGAATTAAATTTTCCTACGTAGTAACAACACATGCAGAGAACAGTTAGGATTATTTAGCTTGCATAAGAATTACATCTGTGAAACTTCACTAGAAAAGAACCGCCTCCTCTGTACCTTGAATCTTTTTCCTCACATCCTCTTTATGAAAGATTTTCACATTAAAAAAAAAAGAAATACGGCTATTGAGAATGCATGAAGTACACTGACATTATGTTATCCATGTGTTTAAAAAAAAAGTTATCTCACTGAGCACCTTACAACTCAGAAAGAGAAAATTCTCAGGTTTTCCTCAAATCCACTTAAACGTGAATGGTGCTAGTTTAACAAGATCTTGCCTGTCCTAAATCTGCATGGCATGTAGTCCTCGTACACTATTTTTTACAAAGCCCTGTACCTAAACATATGCTGCCTATACTTGAAAAAGAAAAAAAAAAATCAAATCTGTTTTCACCAAATCCCTCCCTCCTCTGAGGGGTACCCGTGTCTTTCCAGTTGACAGCTTTGATTATTTAACACCCTCCCCGCAACCCTCCTGACTTTTTAATCATATTACAGGGTGATCATTTTAAGTGTTTGAAAGAATTTCATCCATCACAGGAGAAGTAGAGATCTCTCCCAGAGGCAGAAGGCACTGCTCCAACTCCCTCCCCTGTGTGCCCTTTTAGTACTGCTGCATCTTTTGTCTAACTGGCTTCCTACTCGTGGACAATATATAATGTGCTTAATAGTGAGAATTATAAATGGAAAAACAAGACCCTCCCAGGTCCAATCTATCCTCTGTCGCTGGTGTGGGCCTGGCTTCTCCAATAAACCCATTGAGTGAACTCTCCAGTCAGTATCTTGGAGAGCTTACGGGCATGGTAATGTACTTTCCCATTACCTTGTGGACTTGCTGGAAATTTTTTCTGAAGTTGAATCTACTTTCCATGCATTATTCCTGGTTTTACTATTACCCATGATAAATAACAAGAGTTAAAATATTTAACATTTGTTTGTTCTGTGCCACTTTCAGAGAGCACAAAGTTCCTGTGAACAGCTCGTCATAATCCAGGTGGATTTTACAGTTTAGATTTCCTCATTCTTTGCTGCATTTATTCAGAGTTCTCTCTTGCCAAATGTTCTATGTATTATGTACGTATGTTGAAGCCCAAGTCCTACAAATTTCTTGGGGGGGGGGGAGGTGTTTGTGGGAGGCTGAGTTAAAAGCATTCAGGTAAAATACAATTCCAATGAAATCAAACAGCAAAATTTCACCTGTAAAACTTGCCCCTAAATTACCTTTGCTCAAGCCCATCAAAACTTCACCTCCCTTATTCAGTCAGTTCTCAACAGGTATGTTATACAACAAAAATGTGACTTTCAAAGCAGATAATGAACACAATATATCTTGTATTTGTACAACTGAATGAGAGGGAAAAATTCCTCACATTACTAAGCTAAAGATACTGTATTTGGTCCAACAGCGTGAGAAACATCAATCTTGAGGGCTGAAGCATGTGTAAGCACTGACATGACAATGCTGCACTCTATTTAGGTCATTAAAATATCAACTTCACACCCTGCTTACATTACGTTTGGACTCCATGTTTGTGAGTGCCCTTCCAAACTAAAATAAAAAACAGAATAGGTAGTTATAGACACAGTTGTTACATGCATTGGTTCTGTTTGCTTTGTTTCGAGACAAAGAGAATCCACTAATTCCTAAAACTCTAGAGAATATGAAGAATGTAATATCTGTGAGAGGCTTTCCAAGAAGGTAACGCTGCCGTCGTAAAGACCTGGAGATAACTTCTGCATTAGGTACCTACTATTTCTGAAGTGCTTTCAACTCAGTCCCAGCTAAAGTAAAACCCTGTCAATCTGACTCAGAGCCCCAGGTCGCTGAAAAAGTTGGAATGTACAGACATGCTTTCCATAACATACCGCGACGCAAATACTGTCTGAACATTTGGTTCTACTAGCAGCAAGTTCAGAAGAGGAGAGCTTTAACATGCAGACTAGCTTAACTTTCATTTTAGAAGTCCGCATTAAACAACTATGTTACCTCTATTTCTTTTTCATTCAGCATTTCATTTTTCTTCTGAGTTTCAAGTCCTTTCTGCAGTACTCTTCATGTGTATGTAAAGAAGCAGGCAAGCTTATCTTTGGAGCAAAACCACTGCTGGCTTCAAGGTCAGCAAGCACTTTGTCCAGTTCAGACCAGGACACAATATATGACGTTAAGAATCACCTTGATTTATTTCATTTCTCAAAACAATAAAAATGACACAGATAACAACTACAAATAATAAAGAAAAAATCTTTAGACATAATATTTGCTGATTAGTTATTCTGGCCTTTGAACTTAAGTACTGTTTGTCATTAACTAGCCATGTTTTCTGCTGTTTGGATACCCCCTGCCCCTTGAATTCAATACAAGGAAATAAAGCTTTAAACAGTCTAAAAGTTTTTCAAGCTTGAGATTTATTTTTTTAGTAGGTGAATTTCATCTTACTTATTATTTCTCTTATTACCAGATTTATTAAACCATCAAGTTACATCATTTTAGTTTTAGTAACAAGACATATCCCTGCCCAAGCAGCTTTTACCATCTGACGCGCAGTTGACAGGAGTAACTCTCTTGGAGCGCAACATTCAGTCTCAACACCTGAGAACCAGTTCCACAGCAAATGATACAGTGATTTTTCACCAAGGGTCAGGGGAAGTGGATAAAAACAATCGATCAGAAATCTGTTTGACCAGTTTTCTCTCCCCGGGCCTCCTTGACAGCTAGTCTCACACCAGACACTGTAACAGAGAAAGGTTTAAGCAGCAGCAGAACACTAAGGATAAGCAGTGAAATACTGCACCTACACTCTTGCTTCTAAGCCAGCTCAATCACTACTGCTACCTGAAAGCACCATGATCACCGCATCTTGTCATTCAGCTCAGTTCTACGTCACCAATATTACTGACACCAACTCAAATATAGCTGGTATTGAGTCAAGATCAACAGAGGGCATAAACTGAATTTTAGAAAATATATTCATTTAAAATGTGTATCTCACTGGCATACATACCCTCTGTTCCAGAGCAATAAAAAATGCCCCTGTATTAGATAACCTACAGCATTGTTAATTTATGCCATTTCTTTCATGCAGCTGATGTCAGAAAGAAGCAGTAGTGCCCGGACATCCAGCCCAGCAATTCTCCTGCTG